TGTTCTTGTATTTAAATTGTATTTTGTAGTTGCCATGTTCCTCTGGATAAGACACAAATGTGCTAAATCTCGATTCCTGTTTTGTAGTGCATTTACACAGAAGTATAATTTCATTACAGCCTTTGTTGAAAATATTTGAAACCTGATGTCTATAACTAAAAATAAAGCTCTTCTTCAGTGGTTTGTGATGGCTTTATATTTGCATGCTTTCCTGACTCTAGACGTTTTGGGAAAGTGCATATGAGTAGAACTCTGTAAGATTTTCCTCTCTCATTAGGTACCTGATAATAACAGCCTTGATCGAACAGCCACAGCTCTCCTTGCAGGAGGACCAGTCAAAGTCTCTTTCATTGGCATTACCTTTCAAAAACATCTCTAACGGTGGCTCAGACTGAATAACGTGGTTGTCAAAACACCTTCCACTCAGTTGTGAGAGGGTATAACTGTTACTGATGGGATATTAGGAAGATTAAGGAGCATAAGGAGTGTTTCTTGATCAGAACTTGGTTTCTGGATACATGTGAACTGACTGTCGCTGAGTGTCTATGAATCAGCTCCAAAAGGTAGCTAACCACTGTGGTGCCAGCACCAAGGGTTGGTTGCTGGCTGGAGGATTGAGTGCCTTGATTCTGTACATGCATGAGATGCCTATCTTTTGTATGTGCTGATGCAAGGAGACATAGGTGTCTGGTGCCTTAGGGAGGACCTTTCTGGGAAGCCCATCACCCACAATGGTGTCCACCATCTTTGCTTTGCCTGCTTCTCCTGGGGTTGCACCTAGACCTCAAGAAAGCTGAGTGGCATGAAAAACAGGAGGGGAAGAGCTGATGGCTAAAGCGTGGAAGCAGGGAGCACAGCTGATCCCTTTCTTTATTATTATGTTTCTTCCCAGCTTCTTCATGAATTATTGTTCAGGCTGGTTCATTTTACTGTTGCATGGAATTAGATCTTATTTTTGAGGTTGCAAGTGGAGACCAGTGAGGCTTTATAGGTGCTCTGAATCCCTTTGATATTGTGCATCTCCTAGTCCTGTTTGGAATTTAATATTGTTACTCCTCTTCTAAGTGACAGTTGCTTGAGCAAGGCCTGTTGTGCAGCTGATGAGACACATTTGTTGTAACAGTACTTTCCATGCTTTGGTTTTAGGAGTTGAAATACTGACAAAGCACTCCCAGGTTCTACTTGTTTTGTCATGATTTATTTCTTAAGTATGCAGATGCTGTCTAAACATGTGCCTGCCTCTGGCTATGAAAACATCAGGAGTAGGAGATCTTGCCTTTTTTGTCTTTTTGCCTAGACCTGTGGCGATTGTGTCACTTTTCCCACTCTGAAGAATGGCCAATTGCTAAGCCTGGTCTCTTTAATGGCTACATATGTGGTGCAGGAACTGGCTAAGATCATTGTTTTTCTTCTTCTTTTTCTTTTTCTTCTTTTTATTTCTTCGTAATACTAGTTTCTGTATTTTCTGTATCTGCTGGAGTCAACTCACTTCTATACTCATGCTTGATGTCTCCCAGAGGACTGTGAGACAGCTAGCACAGTGCAACAGCCACATGTTTATCCTATCCTGTCCATCCTGCTCCCTCAGACAGACTTCCCCCCAGCTTTTTTTTTTTTTTTTTTTAGTTCCTATGCACAGCGTTTGATAAAGACATTCTTGTGATACAATGCCCTAAAGGGAGGCTGTCTCTTCGAACAGTCATTGCTCTACCAAACCAGACCACACACTCCCACTTCGCGTAAACCACCTTGCTATTGCATGTTTTCCTCCACTTGCTATCCTGCTCCTGTGCACTGTTCTGCTGGACCTTGCTTGCTAAACTCGCTTTCCAATGTCATTTTAGCCCCAGCAGCAAACAGCCTTTCTGAAGCACCTCTCCCAAATCTTATTCCTGCTTTGCACCACCCATATGCAGCTGATGAAGCAAAACTAAGCTCTTCCCCCAAATATCAGGCACTAGTTACTCATTTCCAGCTCTGTGTAACACTCCTCTGATTAAGTTTGGGCTGAAAGGATGGACATGCCACTCATTCCCTATCCTTTTACTCTTCTGTTCCTCACATTTCTAGTCTTTTATAATATGAATCCGGGATTCAGATACTTCTGCAAGATGTCCTTCTATAAGTTGTGGTTTTTCGTCATTTGTTATTATCCTGAGTATTCCTCGTGGACATAATGTGAAAAACATCAAGTAAGTTGTCTGTGAGTTCTTTAAGCTCTAAGCATTAATAGAATTGACTTGCACTCTATTTTGGTGGCCCATGGGAGTTCTGCTGCCATGGAGAGGAATTAGTTGAATGCTGATGTGGAGAGTTGCCAGGCTGTATAATTCAGAGGAGAGATGTTGTTTCCAGGATCTTATTTGTTTGCAACAAGTTGCAGGACTTAACTGGAGGCTGCATAGCTGAATGTATTTGTGTGAGCTGTGATTAGTAGCAGTTTACAATGCTAAGAGAAGCCCTTGGGGTGGGGGCTAAAAATCAAGGAAGTATTCACTTCTGTTGACTCTATTACAAGGAGGTAGCTTCTAGCAGATCAGGCTTGTAGCCTCTTGAAATACTACAAAAATAGGACTTATTACCGCGGAAGATATTGTATGCTGCAGTGGGAGTACCCAGATGTATCTCCTACTTAAGCCTCAGCCTTTCATTTCAAGAAAATTTCTTCGATTCTTAAATTGTTTTGTGCCTTAGTTCTTTTTAACACATGTTAATGATGATACGTAATGTTTTAATGAAATTACGAGCTGAAGGGTGATATTAGCTGCTGTGCTTCAAGAGACAAGTCTTGGGACAGCAGAGACAAATCGGGGACAGCAGAGAGACAGCCTCACAGGAGCAAACTGTAAGACAGAGTAGTTTGGATGGGAAGGATTTGACCCCTTCATCCAATTTCAGCTTTTTTCTGATTCATGTCTGCTCTCCATTTTCCAGATATTTTCAAAAGATGTTACTGCCCCTCAAATATATCTTTGGTATCAAGATAGTGGTGAAGGGCAAGGAGAACCTCAGAACTAAGAAGCCTGCAGTACTTGTGTTGAATCACCAGAACTCCCTTGACGTTATGGGTATGTAGAAATCTTGCCTGCCCTGCTCTTGGCCCCAGTGATCTGGGCAGGGCAGTAGTATGAAAGGATAGCCAACTACTCCAGGGGATTTGCAGGGAGAGAGCATAAGTCTTGACTTGTCTCTAGCAGCTTCTCTCAAACGGAAGTACTATAGGCAGAATGGTAAGAATATTGGCTGTCAATTAATTCATTTCCAGTCAGCCCCAAGCCAGGGTTCTCCATGGCATTATAGCTAAACAAGAACTTGTCAGCTAAACTAGCTTCACTTTTTTTTTGAAAAGAAGAATTAGGATAAGAGTGTCAACTGACTGACCACAGTTGTGTCATAGCGGCTCTGACTCAGTGTTGGCAGTGGTCCTGTTCTAAGTGAATGGCTGGAGATCTCCAGTGTGTCTTTTCCAACATGCTTATGATTGGGTGATGATGGGTGGTCTAGTAGGAGCTGCAGGCATGACACCTCCCAGCTTAGAGGCCGGAGGGAACCTCAGGGCAGATGCCAACTTGTTCTGTCCCTGTTCTCCCCTTCCAGAGACGACAGAGATACTACCAAGTCACTGTGTGCCCATTGCAAAGAAGGAACTCCTATACACAAGTCCTTTTGGCCTGGCATGCTGGCTTTCAGGCATAATTTTTTTAGGGAAGGTGAAGACTGTTTGCAGATCTATGTACATTTGTCCTTATTATAACATCACCTTAGGTGTTCATGTTTAACTGGGATTTTTTGTTACTCCTAAGTGTGTTACAGGGTCAGTCATTCCCAAACTGCTGATGGTTAGGATCTTCACTGGTAGGGTCTTCACTGTTAGAGAAAGAACCACAATGAACTTTTCCCATAATGCCCTCCCATCCCTCCACTCCCATACACACACTTTACCCATTTGGAAGTTTTAGCAGATTTTGAAGATGTGTTATAGGGTGAAGATTTCTGCATGCCAGGATGGATGATCCTTTAGGTCAGGAGAGCTCTCCATTTAAGCAGAGGCTCGGAGTATGCTGATGAACTTTGGGAAAGCCCAGTCTGTGTCTTGGAATAAATTCTGTGGGTCTGCACGCCTTTTCTTTTACAAAAGACTCTTCTTTATGCTTCTGCTACACCTTCCTAGCATGGTTCTGCTAGCAGTCCTTCTGGTTCTCATCTCATAGCACACATGTAAAGGCATGAAAACACGGTAAAAAGTTAAAAAATGAAACCGTCACTCTCCAAATCTTCAGGTAGAGCTATGTATAGGTGATGTCTTGTCTCCGCTGGTAAGAATAAAAGCCAATGGGTGGATGAACAGAAGAGTATAATGGTCACTTTTTCAATGCACTCATCCTGTTTTCACCAGTCTGTTCCTTAAACTTGCTATCTCTTGGCCAACCAGAGAGTTCTGTCATGATTTATCTCCCAGATCCCAAATTGCATTTCTGGAAAAAACAACTCTGCTGTATTGAGTATACATGGACTAGAGCATGGCCAGTCTGGATGTAGTGTATTACAGACATCTCACCCTCTTTGCCCTCATCTGGACAGAGTCTAACATCTAGAACTACTCAGTAGTGGGTGACCTCAACCCACTGTGAAAACTGACTTTATTCCTACTGCCTGCTCCCTGTTTGACAAACCACAATGGCCCTTTATTCCATGTGAATTATTGCTTGGAATGTACTTTGGAGTTAGTGTATGGAAGACATTCAGCTGTTTCTGTATTGATGATTTTGTGGTCTCTGAGGACAAGGGTTTCAGTTCATATTGTGCGTATCTATCTGGGACACAATGGGGTTGCCATGTGGAAGAGGGCATTTCCATTTCTTTTTGTCTTGGTTCTTTGTTTACGCAGATCTCTATGCTATAACTTCTCCAGCTCTCCTATAACACTCTGAGCCTCCTGTCTTATTCCTCTAGGGAAAAGCACCAGCCAGATTCTGCCAGAAGTGGAAACCATTGGCCTGGGCCCAGATGATGTTCCCAAGCTCACCGAGCAATGCATGCTTGCTGCCCATCAGGGGATATCAGGAATGACAAATGGGACTTCCCACTAGTGATTCTGTCTTTCAGTTCCAGTTTTGAGTATAGGAACTTAGGGATATGGCATGGCAGCCACAGGAAGATCTGGAAACAGAAACATCCCTGAATTGCAACATTGACTTACCAGGGATGGGCAAAATGTCCACAGTGGAAGGAAAACTTTTAAGTGAGGCTGGTGAAATCTTTCCCTTGCTGTTTCCAAAGAATCACTTGTACAACCCTAAGCTGTGTCCTAAACACTCCACGGATAACAGAACGTGTTGTTTAATCATGATCCTAAAAACCTCTGCCCGTCAGGACCCCAGCCCATCTCAGGTAGAGGCGAACCCTTCCTGTGATCATTGCTGCACGTTTATAATCACCTTTTTCTATTCAAAACTAACACGGTGGAGACATTTATCTGTGGGGCCACAGCCATTCCAGCAGATGTTGGGTCCCCCAGCTGAAACCCTGGGGGAAGTGACTGAGCTCGGGGCAGCAGGTTACCGCATTGACCTGGAAGTGCATGCAAAAGGAAGCACCATCTATCTCCTGCATCTCAGCAGGGAAGGACTTGAGGGTAACTTCTGCCACAAGGCAGGGGAGCCATGGCAGTTTTGGGAAACGGGAATTAAAGATATTCCTTATATGTGTCTGCTCAGTTTGGCAGTTTCTTTGTTTTTCTCAGACTCCCTTGGAAACAAAGCAGTATTTTGCTTTCAGTGACTGGGCTTGAAAATGTGAGGGGAATGTGTTCAAGAGACTTCGGTACCAGAGGCAGACAGCAGAAATGTATTGCTTAAGACCCTAGCTGTGGCCTGATAATCTTGTGACTTTTTTAACACAGTCTAAAGATTTTTAAACCCAAATGCATTCTGGGATTACTGATTTTTTAAAAATATTGCCTGGTTTTGATCTGTCTTCTAGTCTATGCTGGGCCATGGACGACAGAGCACAACAAAACCAAACAACAAGTCTGAGCTTCACACACTTTTCTTCATTTCTGCTGTGAGCTGTATTATGATTATAAAGACAAAAATGATGTGTTTGCATACAGGCCAGCCATGGCCTGAAAGAGACAGCAGCTTACTATGATCCCCAAGAAGTCCTGCAAGGATACGTTTGAGAAGTGAGTGAGGATCTGTTGGCATGAGAGACCTTGATCCAGTCAGTGCTGTCTGGAAAACCAGACTGCACAGTTCGCATGCCATGGTGTCAACTCCATCACTGAGCCCAGACCTGGGCAGTGTAGCTGGTCTACATGAGGCTTCCTGGGCCACAGGAGGGCAGCAGCTCTTTGGCCTTCTCGGGGCACTCTGAGGTGAGATGGACTTGACTCATTAGCCCATCCTCATGGCAAAGCCTGCATGCATGCTCTGTAGTCATGGGATATTACATGGCTGGTACTAGGTACCTG